AAACCATTGGATCTGGGCTATGAATTCCTCATAAATTTTAAAAATCTGCATATGTATAACTGTTGGATGCTTTGGGCTCATGAGCTAGTGATAAAATCATAATACCTGATTGTCTTCAACTGTTGTAAAGTTAAACTTGGCATATCCATGTTTTGTTTCTCTGCTAATGCTACAACTTCACCAGCTAAGTAATGAGCTTCACGAAACGCAACCTGAAACCAATGTAGCATGATTCTATAAGCTTTATCAAACTTTCAGGATGATGCACAATGGAGAGTTTCTGCATAAGAGTACATACACCACTTCACTCACTACTTACAATGAAACTTAAAATCATTACTGCTATTACTAACCCTATACAGTTCATTACTGAGCAGTAGTGGTTTACTGAAGGATGTCAGCTGATTAATATTTTCATTTACCATTGATAGATTAATTGATCCATTAACTCTTTGCCACAAAAATTCGGCAGAACATAACTAATTTACTCTGTAGGAAATGAGCCTTAGTATTCCACTTGAAAGATACAAATTCTAAAGGTTATTGAACTGAAGACAAGACTTCAAAGCCCTAAGTTTTATTGTTTCACTGTTGGGATATAAAACTCACCCCTTTTCTTACTAAGTAGTATGCCAAGTCTGTAGCCAACATATCAGGACTGAGAGCTGTGGCACAAGATACTTCATTTACCTGTAATAAAAAATGTTTAAAGGACCTTGAAGAAAATTTGAAATTATTTTCTTATACTGTAAAATTTTTGTCACTGCTAGATTGGTTATATAGCAGGTCAATAGTGGGCAATTAAATTTAATCCATGGCTGGATGGATCTATATCAAAGTGACTATGGTCTGAAGAGCCTTGAATGAACATTTCTGTAATCAGTCACTGAACACACTGTATAGATATATAAAAAATGACAAATTGGTGTTAAAGAGTATTATTCTGAGGATGTTTAAGATGTATAAATGGGCTTATCTTTCTCATATCCAGTTTTACATGTAATCAGAGTAATAAAAGTGTACTGTGTAGGTAACTCAAGAAATAGCATTTCTGACAAAAAAAATTGATTTTTGAATGTTTTATTTTAAATTATTTATCTTTTACTCATTTGTCTGTAAACTTAATCTATATTAATAATATCTGAACATCAAAGCAGACCAGACTACAATTTTCTTCTTCTTTTCTTTTGCAGGCTCTGTATTTGTCACTTCTGGACTACAGAATACTGCAGCTGTTAAAGGAAGACATGGGAAGTCCTTGCATGTTTTCTTCTGCTTCCATTCTGACTGACTATTAATGGAGGTGCTGTCTTATGGCCATTCTCACCATGAGGGTTTTAACTGTCCACATTGCCACCTGCAGGACACACTCAAGACTGTCATATGTGTCAAACATAGCTTCCTTGTCCTCTTGCAGGTCCTTATTGTATGTAGATGGCAATCCTTTTAATACCATCATAAATCCACAGTTCTGAAAGAAAATCAGACTGGAGACACTATATGGATATAAGAACCTCAGATCTGACTAAGCAGGTTCATGTGTGTTGTGTGCATGGCAATGTGCTAGTGGTTGCAGAGGAATTTCCAAATTATAATAATCAGGGTAACTATTAATTAACTTACAGGGGTCATACATTTATTTTGAATGACAGTTAAATAAGATTGTTGTCTTCAGGGTTGTTGCACTATGTAGTCTGATGTTTCAGAGGTCCTTGCTGTCTCCATCATCAGAGTGATGGAGGCAGCAAGGACCTCTGAAATGTTGGTAAGCATCTGCCAGACTACACGGCGCAACAACCCAGAAGACAGCAATCTTCAAACTCACTGCCATGAAAACCTCAAATCCTAGACAGTTAAATAGTTAATTTTTCACGTGGTGTACACTTACATTCCCATAAATTCTTCCAGCCTTTCCACGGATAAGCTCCAAACTGTCAGGATTCTTTTTCTGTGGCATGAGGCTGCTACCAGTACAGTAAGATTCAGACAGTCTGATAAAACCAAATTCTTTACTGTTGTACAGAATCAAGTCTTCGGCTAGTTGGCTTAAATGTACAGCAGTTAAGGAAGCCCAAAACAAGAATTCAGCTGTGAATGAAAAAACCATCAAAATTATTTTCAGATTCCTTCGGCACCAAATTATAGGCAGTGATGTCTATGAGAAGGCATGTTTCTCAGATAATTTTGGTGAGTAACTGATAGGATAAATGATCAAAACTAGTCTAGGATATGATGCTGTGTAGTCCTGTAAGCACTTACAAACTTTATGGAGAAATGGGTAGTTACTGAAGAAGGAGGTGATATGTTCTTCCAAAACATTAGTTACCTACAAGACAATGGCATCAGAAGCCAGGAAACAATGACTCAAGTTAACAGTTGGCAAGTTTTAAGAATTTGACATGGCTGATAACCCAAGAGGATTTTATTAATTTGGTTTGCCATTAAAGTTTCAGATCATACATTCCTTTCACACAGTTCAAAGCTTTACAAAACAATCTGTGCACTGAAGTAAAAGGAGCAACCAACCAATACCAATTGAAATATTAATCTAATAATATGGACTAATCACTAAAATATATTGTATGAATTTTTCTGAATTTTACTCTTGAAGCAACCAGCATCCATCCATACCTATGAAATCTCTATTACCAACTGCATTCATACTGTTGTATGTAAACTTGGCAAAACCAAGATCTTTGGCAAGAAGACTGCGATTGATTGAGAATGGACTCCCTGCTAGTGCTCCACTGCCAAGAGGCATTACATTCATACGTTCCTGCAGTTGTAACAGACGATCACAATCTTCTTTGAGATACCAGGCATGACTGTTAACAAGAATAAAGATGTGTAATAATATAGGCATTAATTTTAATCTACTACGTGGTGCAGGGTCTTTCTTGAGAAGTTCATAAATACTCAGTTGGTCAAGAAAACTACCATTTTTTATGGAACCTGAAGGTTCATTACTGTGTTCATAAAACTCACCATTGGACCCTATCTTGATCTAATTGAAATAATATCACATTTTCAAATTGTACTGCTCTTTAAGATACATTTCTATATTATCATCCTCTTTATGTCTGGATCCCACAAGTGATTATCTTCCATTCCTCAAAGTTCTCCCAGTAAAATCCTGTATGTGTTACAGGCAAAGTACAGCATACACAGTATTCTACAAGTTTTTTTCTCCATCTCCTTCATGGTGTGGGCAACTTACTTTACCTTAATAACCAATGGCTCCACTGCACTGGCTGGGCTCGCTGGAGATGTGTGTATCCTGGCATCAGAATCCCAACCTCAGCTTTTGCTCTCTCAACCAGAATCTAGGCAATGGAACTCACAACATTGCTCATTGATATCAAATAGTGATGTGAAAACTGTTCTTTGCGGTCCACAATATCATGTAAATTAAGAACTATACAAATCAGAAATCTATTTCTGTGCAGATTTTCCACTAGATTTCCACCATGTACATAAAAATTAACATGCCTTACTTCAATAGTTTATTAGTTTTCACTATGAAAATGAAAGCTGAATATAGGTTTTACCCAACTGCCATATTACTTTATACTATACAAAAAAGTAATCTTTATAAAGTTGCATATTCATCAAATATAAATCACTATGCAAAACCTTATTCCAGTTCCAAATCAGAGAACTTCAAAGCCACCAATATTAATGCTATTATTAATGTCAAAGTATTTGGAATACGTATGTGTGTAATCCCCAATTCTAAGTTTCATTAAAATCCATCCATTGGTTCAAAAGCTGTTAAGAATGTCAGAAAAAACCATGCAGACACAGTAATATTATAAGCTTGGGTGTCTTTATAAAATAAGGAAATAGGCTTATAAATGTAAAACAACCTCCAGCAGCTTTGTGGGATCATAAACCAGAAGAATACCTCTAAAATTCTTACCTGTGTTAAATGTTGAATATATTTCTTCAAAACATTTAGCTTTGATCTGAGCCATAACTTCATATCTGTTGCCACCTGGTCATTACGACTGCGGCCTGAGTGTAGTTTGGTGGCTGGCAGCCCTATCAATTCCTGGAATCATCCCATTGTGTGTTAAAGTTGATTTTAGTGATTCTCAACACACTGGGAATAAATACTGTAATGTACAATGTGTAAACATACGTTGAGAAAGATTTTAAGGAGTCATAAATTAATTTTTAAACTTGGTGGTCTATGGAAAATTACTAGGTCCATTCCCTGCATAAATATTTTTAATAATAATTAATTCCATGATCTCTGAGAATTAGATGATACTTCAGCTGGTCAAGTTATATCCTGATGAAAGACTCAGGTTACAAACCACGTCAGGTGGCTGAATGGTGAATAAACCATATATTCTGCCAACGTTCCGAGAGCAAGCTCTGCTGTCATCTGCAGAGCTGCTGCATAACAAATCTGGTCCTTTATAGCGCGCTCTCTGATGGATGATGCTTTTTTAATGGAAGCAAATTCTTATGTCACAGCTGAAAGTACCTATTGGTAAGTGTGGTTATTCATTTCATATTTTCACTTCTTTACCTCCAGCCTTCTTTCAATTGCAGTATGTATATCTTCATCAGACTGATGTAACTTGAAGTTGTCCAGCTCCCATTCTTGACTCACCTGAATGTAAGAACAATTGTTAGTGCCCAATATGAACTTGAAATATTTGTATGGGAATATAGTATTCAGTGAAAGGCTTTCAGATACTACCTAGAACCCTGTGTTTTCACAGGAATTAAGAGTTTGAAAGTTTACAGATATTTTGACATAACAGTCACTCCAAAATATATATTTATAACAAACTGTGATGTAAAGCACAGCCAGATCATGATGCTGACCATTCATCCCCATCCAGTGCCAAGGTTAAGAAAGAGTAGAAGCTATGCCTCCTCTTCTGCCAAGCCCCCACATGGTGTATAGCAGGACAGCTTTACGTTCTAACTGTGATACAGAACTTGAAGGTCAACACCAATGATACCAAAGCCTGCATTGAACATGACCCTGAGCCAGTTTCAGCTACCACCTTCTATCTTTACAATCTAGTTTCCTAATATTATCTTACCATCTCTATATCATTTTTTTCAGCTGGCTGTTTTCCAAGTGGTTTCTACACTAAATTTCTGCATAAATGTCTTGTCTTCTTTGAATTACATGCCCAGCCCAGCAACAACCACATTTATTTTGATACTCTAACAATACTAGGTGTACAATCATGAAGTTCATATTGTATAATATTCTGAATTACACACTTAATCCTTTTTAGGTTCATGTCTTTACCTGAGAATCTTTCATCAACTTCAGTTGCCGCGAAAGCTTCACTAATACATTAGAGAAATTAATGTGTCATATGTCTTCAATGTTTTGGAAGAAATGTGGGATAATATAAAAGCAATATTAACAAGTAAATCAGTAAATGAATTACTAGAAAAGAAAAATCATAATAATGGTAAGAGAAGGAATGTAATAGACTGTAAGGGAAATGGGTTTAATAAGAAAGGGTGTAATAAACTGTACCACATGCAAGCATAAATGTGTCAGATGAAGAGAAATGACAAACACACACAACACAGATACATCTTCCACAAATCTGTTTTCAAAAGATATGAAGCAGTTAGAAATATTTACCAGTTTCAGTCCATTCTGTATCACTTGTTCCTCTTCCTCAGTCAACAAACCTGCCCTCTGCAAGGCATGTGCATATGCTTGACTGCCCTGTAATTTGAAAGGTCTGATGATTTATAGGATTAGTAGGCCTTGTACACACTTTTCACATCAAGGGCTCAAAGCTCAAATTATCAGTTAAGTGGCACATATAACATGTCTGAGTAACTAATAACTTCTATGTATGAACCATCTTACAAATGTACAAAATTAACCTACCCACCTGTATATCTTCAGACCACATACGTTTGTCATAGGCAATTGATGCATTCAGTTTCTCTAACAAAGTGTCAGTCTTTTCTGAAAATCGTCCTCCCCAAAGCTTTGTTCGTGCTTCCTAAAATATATAATGTATATTCTGTACATGAATACGATTAAAACAATCACTCCAGATTATGATGATAAAAATGTAAAATTTGTGTATAAGCAGTAGATGTAAGGGGATTATAGGTAAAGATCCATACAATGTAGATCTGACAATTTGAGAGAAGTGAGTAGTCAATTCTGCACGCCAGCTGCTTGACATTTGATGCACTGGTAGATTTTAAGAGTGATTATGTGCAAATAATATTTGTAAGCCAGCTACAAGTACAGAACATAAAAGTATTATGCTGTTCAATTAACCTTACACAATTAAAGCATTTCCTTCATGAAAATTTGTCTGAAAACTAAATGTGACATCTATAAATATGTCATTAGCTCACAGCTACTTCTACAACCCTGCCCATTTATCATTTACAGTCATTCTACAACATGTTACATAATCCTGCATAACCAAAGTATCCAATACAACACTGTAAAATAAACAAACAATATCAATATGAGTATAGAAATCTCACTTAAATGGTCTGCTTCATAGAACAAGCATATTACAATATAATTTGCCATTTAAATTTAAAAATAATATACTTATTGGATTCACTCATTATTTTTGTAAACTTTGGAACCATCCTGAAACTAGTTCCTTCTTCTTAGGCATGACTTTTTATCACAACACAGAAATATCCAATTATTTTAACAAGAAAATAAGAAGCTTCTGTATAGAACTTTTCATTCCTGCATATAAAATGTACAAACTTCATGCATGTGATATGAAATCAGTAACATTGTGAACATACCTTACTCATTTTAGTTTCTGTTTTCCTTAATGCCATAAAATAATATACTGTACTCACAGAGGTTTACTACACTTTATCAGTTCATACGAGATACTGGAACCTTGGAATCTGCCCTGTAAGGTCAATCCAATCAGGCATCTCCAAATATAAAATCTACTCCAATATTTTTTTTCAAATCAACATATATCAGACTTAAACATAAATTAATGTAAATTAGATTAATATAAATAATTACTATATACCGTTCATTAATATTATAGATCTATATATCATTATGAAGAAACTGAACAGGAGAAAGGGGATTCAAGGTTAGTACTATGTACATATTCATTTTGCATTATGATTGTAATTTACTCTAATTTCTCCATCTCTCTCGAGAGCAGTGTTGTGACATGTCAAAGTATTCAATAAGACACTAACATTTGTGCCCCTATCACTGTGATTTAAAATATGAGCAAAATGAAGTGTATTTGTGTGTCTGAAGTCTAAAAAATATGTTTTCAAAGAAGAACGGTGTCTCCATTTGCAAAGCTATCATGTGATTGCAGTCTTCTGGGTTATAACGTAATGTAGGCTTTTAGATAACGGTGTTATGGAGGAACATAATACCTCCATCTTCAGATATATAGTTAAATTGTTGCCAAGTATTGTATTCCCATGTAGGCTCAAAACGAATTAACATTGTTTCAGATTATAAACAGGTCAGCTACCTACGTGTATTATTAATACAGGAGTTATTTTTTATTAATCAGTGGCTGAAAGTGAATTTTTCAAGGATTACCGAAACCGGGTTGGGGATGGAGGGGTTTTTGAAAATACTGAAAATTTAGTGTAGCTATCGAAAATTTGAGGAAAAAGTTGTCAGTGGAACCACGGTTCCGGAGAATTTGACGTGAATACGTCTATACGGAAAGGAAATTTATATATTGGCTTTATTCTAAATATTATTATAAATGTAAGGTAAGGTAATGTAATGTAAAGTAATGTAATGAAATGTAATGTAAGGTAAGGTAATGTAAGGTAAGGTCATGTAATGTAAGTTAAGGTAATGTAAGGTAACTATGTAGGTAACCATTGTTGTTTATTTGTTGATAAACAGATGACGTTTCCAAGGTAACATAACAATGAAGTTACACTTTTTCGTTTCCCAGGTAACATAACAATGAAGTTTGACGTTTCCTAAGTAACATAACAATGAAGTTACACTTTTTCGTTTCCCAGGTAACATAACAATGAAGTTTGACGTTTCCTAAGTAACATAACAATGAAGTTACACTTTTTCGTTTCCCTTTTTCGTAACACTATTTCGTAACACTTTTTCGTTACATTTTTGCCGAATGACACTGACCCTAAAATATAGACGTATTTACGTCAAAAATTAATGAAGTCTGGCAGGGATATTAAAAGTGGAACACCATAACATTTGTTCTTTGTTTTGTAGCGGTAGTAAATCCTAACATCTTTTTGACATTTTTCGATTGTTCAGGTTATCTTCTCGTCACTTTTCGACATGCAGGTCAATGAAGTTGTTCTGCTTTTGAAGGCTGTAAGATGTTTTGCGGATTGATACGTTAAGAGAATTGTAAAGCTGAGGGAGATGAGTAGTGTCTTCCTTCTCTTAACAGGGACTTATTATGTAGGATTTTACATTGTCTGTATAATGACATATTAGATGCCTTTTGGTAAGTGTAGTAATTTTGACTGTGTACCACAAAGGATATTTTGCGGATTTCTATATCTTATGAAATGTAGTCCGTCAGTGAATAGGTGCGGCCATGTTGACTTGTAGCAGAAAACTTTGCCATTAAATTTGTCTGTAATTATTGTTCCAGAAACATAATGCCGAAATGTGATAGTTTCACGAAATATATACCTGCTACATTTGCCTGGGTATTGCTGTTAGGAACAACGACGTTGTTCTTCTATTTCCCGTAAGTAGAGTGATTTTATCAAGATCACTGTACTTTGTAGGAGAATTTAATTCAATTGAAGATTATTCAACATTGTAATTATTTATGAGAATAGCTGTAAAAACAACATATTTATATTTGTATTGGTATTTTATTTGTGCAAAGTGTTGGTATTTGTTTTATGACATTTCACATTCTTGGCTTGTATTATAAAGTAACTATGCAATGCAAATACATTCTATTCTGGTCCCTTGCATTCATTTCTGTGATATTATAGTTTATTCTATTATGTTTATTGTTTCCGTGATAAAACTAAAGGTAGCAATGAAAACAGCCATTTGGATAACTGACAGTTCAATGAAACTGCACATGGAAGGATGGAAGTTGCTGATTTGTTTCATATATTTGTGATGAAGGTAGCCTAATTAAACGTTGGATATGAATTGCAAAGTATTGTTTAATTGGTAATGTGTCAACTTTCCTGTTGGATTTTAAGAATTATTACTTTGACACTTGTTTCTGTAATTATATTTTCTTTCTTTAAAAAGTTCTGCAGTGAGACATCCACTGTTGCGTTGCGTTTTAGTTTACAATATTATTGCCATTTTTTACCATATTCATTTATGGAACAGTTGTTGGTGCGTTTGTTCATTGAATAAGCCTAGCTATTATGGCTTTGTGAAATTTCAATACAGAACTTGAACATTTTTGTTATTTCTTAACTGATCAACTATTTTCACAAGACTTTGTAAGCCTTGGTTTTGTTTGAGTAGTATGACATTCTTGGGAAGACTGTTGAGGTACGTTGAAGTGACTGTCTGGAAAATGTAGGCATAAGTGTAGGAGAGCTATTGGAATTTTGTCCTTGATGATGCAACTGTTTTGTTCTGTGCTGTGTTGTAATTGTTTAACACTTGCTATATGGAATATGATGGTACAGTATTGAGACAATTTTGCTAATTAATAAAATGCACATTTTTCCTGGAATACTGCCTCTAATAAAGCATTTTTACAATATTTCTGGCTTTTGGCAGTGAATGACAGTGGTCAAAATGTGGGTCACTTAATAGGAAATGTACTATGTTAGCTTACTCATTGCTATGGAACAATTTTTAGCTTGCTTCACTTTACGATGAAAATTGGCTAAAATAGCATATTATTACTATTATGATGTGTAAAATATAGGGGTGGCTCCTACCTCAATATTAAGTCTGCATTACCACCCTGATGATGGAGGCAGCAAGCACCACTTACTCTGCTAAACTTCTGCAAGACTACATTGTACAACATCTCAGAAGACAAGTCACCTTAGTGTGGAGTTTGACCATCTCAGAATAATAAAATTTGTCAGAAGTAGGTACTGAATATTAAGGGATTGTTGCCAAGGGTAAAGTCTACTGCTGGAAAATGAAGCTTACCGCTCATGTGCCTCTTGATAGGCTACACCCAGCTAACTAATAAATCAGATGGTGCATTTACATGCATATTCATCATGGATTTTTTTT